ATATCTAAACTTCTCCTGTAACCATTTTCCTCTTCGGACGATTCTTAGCGTTCTCTTCAGGGTTCAATAATTTCTCATTTCATTAACGCAATAATTCTTCTACAATATAATATAGGTCCAGGTCTTGATCTGCATGACCCAGGGCAACTTCGTTTGCTATTATGTCTGCCCTCTGGTTTCCAGGAAATCCCACAGCCTCGATGCAAATACAATTCAATGCAAATACATGGTGTGTTTATCATTCAGAGATCCAAAATCATTTTTAATCTGATCAGTCAGAGTATTGTCACTATAAGTACTGAAAATCGCGTCTAAAGCAGACATACATATATGAATGTATGTCTACGCCTCTTTGACTAAACTATATTTTCCTTCCATTCTTCACAGACTGAATAATAAACACTTTTTCTGCAATTTTGAAGTTACTCAACTTCTAACTGGACATGGTAAATTCAATTCATATCTGAAGAGATTTAGATTATCTAGTACAGACTTGTGTTCATGCAGTTTAGGAGGAGTGCAAAATGTCGAACATTTGTTGTTCTATTGTTCAAAGCTCAAGAAAGGACGAAAGGAACTCAGTTCTAGGTTAAACTCCGTGAATATTACATTTCTTCTCCATCTTCACGTATTTATCCAACATAAAATGGCTTTCTCTTTCTTCTGTAAATTTATCTCTTACGTGTCATCTGTGAATTTGTAAGTTTATTTTATTTTGTGCTGTGTTTTATTTGATAGTTTTTTTTACTTACCTCTGTAAGCCTTGTGTAATACTATGTGGAGCACAAGGATTTAAAATTTTCAATTAAAAAAAATGTATGTCTACGTTACATATACGAATAGTTTTGTCTGTAAACCAGATTTTCCTTTATCCATTTCAGCACATAAAATATAGTCCACAATTCGGCTTGATAAACAGTATTTCAGCCTATCTATTGAAAATTCTCTTATTTTCAGTCTCAGTCACATGAAAGTATACCACGAAATCGCTTCTGAGTCCACTGTTTATTTTAGAGTTTATAAATCTGTATCAGTTTTTCTAGTACCCATAAATGTTTACTCACTTACTTCACTCACCTTTATTTTACTCACTACTTTAATGCAACACTCTTGTTTTCGACAGGATGAATTCAGTTTCATTATTTATTTAAAAATCACTTTTATTAATATCTACATCCAAAATTTCAAGTCCTCCACAAAACTATTTCTTAGACAAGTCCTTTCACAAAAGCATTTCTTAATTTCACATTTCGATTTTTTAAAAATTTTGAGTCCTTTCACAAAACCATTTTTTAGATCCACAAAACGATTTTCCAAGAATCGGTATTTTTTATTCCTTTTACCTAATGGTAAGGATTCTAGGTTTCTCAGATAACAATACTAGATATTCCCACTTCTTTGTAGGAAGTAAAGGAACTATTATAGTACTTGCGAAAAATTTTGGTTACCATATTTCAACGAAAATATCCATTTTGACCGCCCTCGAATCCATTTAAACGATATTTTTGCGTAATATCTATACATATGGACAGAATAAAGAAATCCTTTTTCCAAAACGGATTGTAAAATAGATTAAAAAGATATTTTTATTTGTGACCTCTGTACTTACATACGTATACAGGGTGATTCTAAATTACTTTTACAAATTAAGAGGGGTGATAGTACTCATCCAGATGAGCAATAATTATCATAGAACATTGGGTCGCATTCTGTTCTGAGAGGCAGAAAAGAATATTAGAATTCCAATCTGAACTTATAAAAGTGTTGGGAGAGCGAAAGAACGAGACGAAATGTTGCACAATTAGTTTAATGGCAAACTCACAAAGACTGCAAAAAACGGATAAAACGAAAACTTGGCGTTCGAGTGTTAATTTGTGCTGAGACTTTAATGGCTAACGCTCAAATGCACATCTTTGGTTGGCAAGGTCTCAACCTCGCAAATGATTGGAACAAGTTAATTATCTAAATTATTAAGGAGAAATTATCTATTAGGGAAAAAACTACCTTGATATCAAGTATTAAACTACCTTGATATCAAGCAGTTGTTTTTATCTTAACCATCTTCTATCCTGTCTTCCTAGACTTACTCTGCTGCGCTCAATCTACTTGAAGCGCTCTTCTACGGGACACGAAGTTCTGACAACCGGAACGCAGCATGAGCTTTTTGTGCTAATCTCGGCATGCAGCAGACGTTGGAGTTAGTTGGTAATATTCAGCCCTTGATTACATAATTAACTTGTTGCAATCGTTTCCGAGGTTGAGATCTTGCCAACCAAAGATGTGCATTTCAGTGTTTGCCATCCAAGTCTCAGCTCTAATTAACACTCGAACCCCAAGTATTCGGTTTTATCCGTTTTGTGCACTTTCTGTGAGTTTGTCACTAAACTGATTATGCAACATTTGGTCTCGTTCATTCGCTGTCCCAACATTGTAAGTTCAGATTAGAATTCTAATATTCTTCTTTTCTGCCTCTCAGAGTGGAATGCGACCCTATTTTCTATGGTAATTATTGCTCATCTGGATGAGTACTATCACCCCTCTTAATTTGTAAAAGTAATTTAGAATCACCCTGTATATCTTCCATAACTCAAAAACTAATAGCCGTAGAAAGTTGAAATTTTGTTATGGTACTGCTGTAACATATAGTTGTGAACCTACCCTTTTCGTTCCAATCGGCCGCATCAAACATATATATATATATATATGTAAGAAAAATAATATGTAAAAATTTAATTAGCAGCCTAAATTAATTTCCCTTCTCATTCTAAAAATAGTAACCCCTCTCTGCACTGCGTCATTTCGAGAAAAAATCCATGCCGTATGACTCTTACATAATTCTGATGATGTAAACGAAACTAAAACTCTTTCACAGCCAATAATAATTTTACAGCAATATTAACCATCAAATCAGAATGCTTTGAGAACCAGAACTAAGTCTGACTTGAGATTTCATCATGGACGTTACGCACTTGCTTTCCACGCTTTGGCCTGTCTACACTGCTGTCTGTCTGCTCTGCTTTCTTGCTACAAAATTGTCAAAAATGTAAGCCTTTCGGAACAAGCGCATTTAATGTGCCGACTTGTGTGTTGCCGCAACATGTTGCCGAAAATAAAACTGAAGATTTAATCTGTATTCACCTCCAATTTCCTGGTCATTGCTTCCTGCTGAATTTATTACAAATTGAGTCGACAGGACACATGTCCTGTGCGTTGGAATTTCAGTGGAAATGTCATCGCAATGTCTGCAATTCAGGATCTTTCCCCTAGACCAGTACCTTCTAGAATTTGCTAGCCTATTACGTAACCGTTACTAAAAATAACGAATACGCGCCATTTTGCGTCAGAAGCTCGCCTCTCCTCCTGTTCTATACTCCGCGCTGCTCTGTCCATCCTTCTTTTCTTTGTTAGAATGTTATGACGCATAAAGTTGAACTTAAATCATACGTGTTTTAAACTACTATTGAATATGTGATTTAGAGGATTTCATATGAAGGAGAGCATGATCTACGGTAAAATTTGAATTAAAGTTATGGAATAAAGATGTACCATTAAAAGCTAAACCAACTTGCCTCTTCATTTGGATTAGCCTTACCACTCTGCAAAAACTATGCCTGAACTTTGATGCCGAAATATCATATATATATATATATATATATATATATAGATTATTCATTATTTATGGACGGCTGAGATTTCCTGCTATGTTTCAGCAAAATTCTAATCATAGCGTTCTGAATCTATAGCTGTAATAGATGCTGCTTAATATCCTAACGGTGAATGTTATCATTCGAGTATTGTTATCAATTTCCTAAAGTTCGTTCCTTTTGTACAAAAAAATACGGAAAACACATCGGTTACGGTTAATATTACCAACTATTTTACACTATTGTTTTTAAAACTGAAGCAAAATCACCAAATATTTGGAAGTTTGGAATCATTTGGAAGTTCTAGAAAATATTACTAAAATCGCAAAATAAGGTCATAGTCAAAGGGATAGAAAAGGAAAATAATTTTTAAAAAATAATTGGAGAAATAACGAAATCTAGCTTTGAATGCGTTTTCCCTGTTCCTATACTTGTATATGGGAAATTTTCGTACTCTTTATGGAAAAAAAAAAAAAAAAAATACAAGAAGTTTCATTCCTGTATGACAAGAAATTGACCAGGATCTTTAATTTCAAAATATGCAGTTTTTGATATTATTTTCAATTTGCCTCGTGGATTCGGTTAATTAAGTTAGAATAATTCGAGAGAACAAATTTAAACGAGGAAAAATTTAATTTCCTAACAAAATCGCATTATCCGGGAAACAAGGAATTTATATTTTCTAATTCTTCGAAAACAGTGTCTGGTGGGCACAGTTCAGCAACGGTGTAATATTGTTTCAAATATCAATTAAAGCGTCTTTTTAATTGGACTTGTTTAGCTTATTTGAATGATCGCAAAGCACAAAAAGGCTATCTGTATAAAAGGAGGGATGCCTTCGTGAGAACTTACTAAAGAAAGGCTTACACATGAGGAAAACCACGAAAATGCAGCTAGCCTGTTCGCCGGGATTCGAACCTAGGACCGAAATTCCAGAGTTCAGCGATTTCACCGCTCAGTCGCTGGTGAGCTTAAGTGGATGGAAGATTGGAAATACTAAGCATAATCAGGGTTTCACAATGTAACACCGCTATAATAACGGAAAATAGTTACAAAAAACCAATTCGTAATTTTATTCTTTGACTATTCTCAATGCTGTTTGTGAGATATTAACCCTTAGCCTATCGAGTTATTTTGAAGGAATTTTACTATTCGTGAGGTATTAAAAGAATTTCAGAAGAAACTTGTTTATGAGTTATTTGGCCAATGCATTTATACGCCAAACCCACTTTCTCGTCAAAGCCGCTATGAAGAAGAGAAATACTCATACATTATCTACCATCAACTTGAACATTCCAAAACATTTTATGTATATCTGAGGTTTCTGAGAGGCTTTTTTCTTCGTTTCTTTTTCAGAGACCATTGGAAATACGAGAAGACACAAATGGACGCTTATCATCAGCATCCAATATCTCTGGACCAACTGAAGACGACGAAAATACCAAACTAGGTAAGCCAGTTATCAATACTGTTACTCAAAATATGCTTTCGGAAATTTTATTAATTTCTTCATAGTTGTAAAATGTTCTTTTCGGAGTAATTTTGAATAAGACTATGCAGAGTATTTCAGAATTCATGGACCAGACTTTAAGGGTAGGTAAAATACATGTAAAGAAGGATTTTTGTATAGCAATGTGGGGTCGGAGATGAAGTGTGTGGGCGAAAAATTAGGAAATGTTGAGAAAATTAAAAAAGCTCTTTATGTATATATGCTGAAATGTCCGACCATTAAGAATAATAAATCCCTGTAAGTATCAATTCATTAACTGGGGCACACTGTGGCGGTAGAAGGCAGTTTCACAAACAGTTACGCTGCATGCATTTTTATAAAAGATTTTTTAAAACAGACGATATACGCTAGTGACGTGGATTAAAAAATATGAATTTTTGAAAAATATTGAATCTGAAGTTTTATTTAGTTTGCATTATCGAATCGTCTGCCAAACAATTTTACTGAGTTTGAATGGCATTGCGCGAGCTTCAAACAAGTCTTTGCTATTAATGGTGTATTTGGTGTATTTAATTATGGCAAAGCACACTAGGGCTATCTGCCTAAGGGGCGGGATGCCTTCGTGGAGGGCTTTACTTTTCTGGCTCGTATACACGTTACACATGGCAAAAACCACGAAAACGCCCATGCAGCCAGCCCGTTCGCGGGATTCGAACCTCGGACCGAACTACCAGTGTTCAGCGACTTTACCGCTCGGCCGCTGGTAGGCCTTTGCTATTAGAAAATTATGCGCGTAATGGAGCAATTTACACTGTCTGAGAAAGCAGGGACAGCGAGTTGTAATGGATGAGAGACATTAAGTTTGTACAGTAGAGTCCCGCAAACTCGACTCCCGAATCTTGACATTCCGTATAACTCGACAACTTTTTAGGAACTTTTTTATGATATTTGTAGGCCAAACAAAGCAAATGTTACATACAGTACATATAATTATTATTTATGGGTATGTCATCCCTGTTCTGTTCAAAGATTTGAGCGTTTTTTTTTTCCGTAATTTTGCCGTTTTCGCATTGTGCCATTAACTCTTGAAACTGACTAACAAATTTCAAAATACGTTGTAATACTTGGCAAGCTGTTTGCTTCTTTCGAGGATACGAAGAAAATCAGGTAGCAGCTGGCTGCTGGCTCACATTCCTTTCTATTGTTGCAAAACTTTAAGAGACTTGTTTGAAGTTTTGTGACTGCATCTTATTTCAAACTAAACTCACACCAGTTCATTGCGGGTGTCGTTCCTTAGTTCACATTCCAGGTGTATAAATGTTAACATATTTTCAGAAACTATGGATATTCTGTGAAGTGAAAATGTCGCTCGAAAAGAAAAGAAAACTAACGTGACAATGGAAATGAAACAAAATGCCTTAAAGAAACTGGACAAATGGAAAAGATAAACAAAATTACCATGGATTTAGGGACTGGACGGATTACTATGATAGGCTGGAAAAAAAATGATATCCGAAATCGAGTTTTGGTATGTGAAAGAGCATTTACGGATAGTTTAAAGGAAAGAAATGCATGAAAGGTGGTGAATACGAAAGAGAAAGCGAGGCGCTTTATTTGTGGCTCAGGCAGCTAAGGGAACAGGGAACACCCATTTCAAGACCAATTTTACAAAAGAAAGCCCTAAAATTTTATGATGAATTTCAAGAAGGGAGAGTATGGATTTACTGTTAGTGCTGGCTGGCTCGACAGATAGAAAAAGTGGTACGGCATCAGGCAGTTAAACATTTGTGGGGAAAAGCTGTCTGCTAACTTGGAAAATGCTGCAATACTCAAGGATGATTTTAACAAACTAATTGAAAAGGAGGGTATATATGGAGATCAAATTTATAATTACGATGAGACTGGTCTGAATTTTCGAATGCTACCTTCAAAAACGCTGGCATCCAGGGAAGAAAAATTGGCAGATAAAAAATAAATAATAATAAATCGGCAGTATTTGGCCAGCACTTTCACCATGTTTATCAAGTATCGATTTTTTCTTATGGGACACCTCAAGGCACACGTCTACAAAACTCCAGTTGACTCTGATGAGGACCTTCAGTGCAAAAATTTTATTGGATGCTCCAACTATTATGAAACACCTGGCATCTTCGAAAGAGGACATCAATCACTTACTAGACGCTACCAAGTTTGTATCGATGTTGATGGTGGCACATTTGAGCACTTAGTATAACATCATATAAATAAAGACATTTTTTCCATTTCCTAGAACGGAAAATCCTGATTTTTGCCTACACGTTTCATTTCCGACCGCATATTGCTGTACGAAAAATGCTTCTTTTACATGCATTTTACCTACTCTTAATACTTGGCCCATGAATTCAGGAACACATATGTATATCATGTCCCCAATTGTCCTTACCTGGCCTTTATTTTCACAACCGTTGGTCGTAGACGTAAACTTCCAGTTGCAAAAATGTTTGAAATGACGCAAAGATTCATGTATTGGCATTTAAAAATTTAAGACCATCATTTTTGTAAAAATTACGGAATCCAACTTTTTAAATATTCAACAGGCCCCTATCCTTCTATTTAGGAAAATTTTATACTCGTTATAAGAAATAAAACACGAAAGTTTTGACTGATTTTTAACTTATTATTTTGATTAATGCTGTTTTTCACAATAATCTGTATAGAAATGCTCATCATGTACAAACGCAAACATTTAGCTCTTCCATTTGTGTCCGGTGTCAGTAACAATAACATCAGCTTGCTTTTCCTTCTATCATTAGCTGAACATTTGTTTCCATCGGTGTAAAATTATTTTGCACACCTGCTAAACTTTTGACAGTCAATTCTTTTCAGGTCAACAGCATACTGGCATCACTTTGACGGCCAGTTCTTTCCTGTTCATCTTAGTAATGTTTTGAGGAATGATAATACGTCCTTCGCGTATTTGTTGAACGATATTCGCGATATTTGATGAACGTCCTTCGCGAATTAGGCACTACACGGCCTGGCCCCAGCTTAGACCCTCCATATCAGACAGAGGTGAGTCTGTCAGGTAACGAAGAATCTCTCTCAATGCTGAATTGCCCCAGCAAGGTCATCACTTCTCGGAGTCAGAGGCCACAAAGAGAGGGATAACCACCTGAAGATTTGGCTCGTCGTATATTGTTACAGTTCGACTTCTAGGATGAAAGAACTTCTAGGATTAAGAAAGAAAGCTTTGCCAAAGCAGGAGTGGCTCCGTCAGACCGCAGAGGGAAAATTATAAACGGAGTTTATAGCGGCTATCCATCCAGCTTTAATACATTTTTGCGCATGCGCGAAATACTAGTTGTCGACCCGGTGTCGAAAGTCGAATATTACGTTTGTCAAGAGTTCAAAGTTCTGTGATACCATGTGTTCGCCCCTGGTATCGACATAATCAAATCACTGATCTGAGCATGTAAATTAATTAATGGTTTATTTATTTTGAGAACAAAGGATACGAAATCCGAGTTTAAATTATTGCAAAATATTTTTGTTGAAGAACGGATCCTATAAGCTCTTTGGTTTTGTAACGCATTTCTCAACTTTTTCCTGTACACTTGACGACTTAATAATTTATTAATAGCACCTCCACGATTAAAAGGCACAGTAATCAAAGTTTTTTTACATTACGTCTATGGAAGTTTTCCTTCTCTACTTGTTTTTTGGTTCGACCAAGTCAAACGCAGTGCTGGATGGCGTTCTGCCAAAACATTTAAAAATCTTCGAAAAGAAGTGTTAATTACTTGCCGCAGAGTAAGAAATTCACATGAGAGTTCACTTTTCTTCGGAAAGACGGAATCTACCACTGAAGAAGGAAAAGTCCCGTGTCGTTGAGTGATCCTGTCTTCGGTTGTCTTTGGCACCTTTATTTCACATTCGCAGAAATTAACGTGAAGATTCGCATTAATTTTCAACACTAGAATTGATACACATACACACAACAGAACACAGTACAATAGAACACAGATTGATTTTTTTTCATAACATATTAATTTTACCTGAGCACCGGATATTCCATCGCTTACTTTTAAAAATAAGATCCTAAAAAATAATGGAACTTATTTTTTAGTGGAAGTATTCTATTTGTAATAAAAATAAATAAATAAATAAAAATCTGAAAGGTTTCAGATTTTTAAATTACGTCCAAAGAGCGTTTTTTTTTTTTTTTTTTTTTTTTTTTTTTTTATCCGCACGTGTTGGTTACCTTTATTTTGCAAAGTTCTTTGCAAACCAAAACCATAACATCAGTTCACATAATGTCGCAAATAATTTTTAAAATGAGCATATTTCAGAGTTTCCGATACACAGTTCCGCGCGCTGTGATTAAAAGTTTTTTTTCTTTTTTCCCGTAGAGTGTTTGCCATTGCCGCTTTGTAATCGCTGAAAGTTTGTTAATCCAAATTTCGTTAAAGGCTTACAAAATATGAAATAAATAATAAAACAAATTAAAATTTAAAATTCGTTCTTCCAAGTACTAATATTCGGGTGGAGGACTACGTTTTCAAAATCTGATGGCTCTAGGTACCGTTGTTTTTTCACAATGTGAGAAACATGCATACATTCATGAAGATTCTTCATTATTTAATTTCTCGAAATAATACAGGGCGTAGATTTGGTGGAACGCTTTGAATGAAAGTATACGCCGTTATAGGGTTCCGACGCAAATCCAAAAACGAAACAATAGTCCTTCAGGGACAAAGCCCCTTGCTAATTATGCCCAACAGATCTGCTCGTTTTAGTGGGTTCTATCGTAGTTGATTTGAGTGACATTTGCCACTATTACGATGTTTTATGCAAGAAAAAAAAACTTTTCCCCAAAAAGAAATTTCGTTTTTCTCCCCCTTCAAATATGTATAATAATACACACAGATTTTAGTCCAAAAAATAGAAGATTAAGAAAGTATATTATATGAAATACTACTATAATTAATTAAATAATAATAATTATCATCTATTATGGTATAATTATTGTACTTATTATATTTCTGTAGTTTTTATTAATGTCATGCATTTTAGCTCAGAGATAAAAAATAATCTATATAATATATTAATTATAGTATTGTTATAATCATTATTAATTATCGTTAAGACATAATAATGAATTATAATAATTATTATATTAGAAAAAGATTTAATGACACACTAAAAAAATCGAAATATATGTTGTATATACTTAACATCTTAACGCTGTCGCTGTTGGGTTGTCGCAAATTCACAATAGTTGCATCTAGTTCTTTACTCCGTTCCGTAAAAGTGAGGAATTGTCATGTCCCACAACACAGATGATTTCATAAAATTTTGTAAAGGTACCGGCCCTCTTTCGTCAAGATTAAGACCTTCACTCGGTGCTTCGGCACCCTTGACTTGTGTGCTGTCTTCACGATACTGAACTTCGTGAAGGTGAAGGCACATTTTTACTTGTACCTTCATCTTCACAGACAGTGTGTGTGTGTGATTATGGCAAAGCGTCGAGGGCTATCTGCCTAAGGGGAGGGATGCCTTCGTGGAAGGCTTTCTAAGGGAAACTGGCTCGCATGCACGTTACACATGGGGAAAACCACGAAAACGCCCATGCAGCCAATCCGGCTCGCAGGATTTGAACCTCGGACCGAACTACCAGTGTTCAGCGACTTTACCGCTCGGCCGCTGGTGGGCCCCTTTCTTCCTTCCAAGCCTGTACCTTATCGTCTTTACTCCACATATTTTAGAAAATGTACAGCTACCTTTCCTCAATTGTTCGCGCTAGTTAGATCAACCTGATCCACCTCTGGCTTAGAACAATCCCCATAAGAGTGTGCATCTTTGTATTTGTTTCTTGCTCAATCAACTCTCATTTAATGTTTTGTGCTTTCCAGAAAAAACTCAAAGGGCGTCTCGTACCATGTCTCTGGATAGAAAAGTCGCACAATCCCACCCATTGATGGGCACCGATGACAGACCGCGTTCAGAGGTTCAAAGGTAGGAAATATTTTATTCTTCTTCTAAATTATTCTAAGGCAGGGATATATTCATGGAGGATTTTCAAAGGTAAATGGACTCATATTCATGTTTCACATGGGGAAAACCAACCGTGCAGGCAGCCCATTTGCCTGGAATGGAACACTTGTCGAACTCCTAGTATTCAGCAGTCTTTACGACTCGGCTACTTCTAGTGCGGTGAGCATATTGTAAAGGTATGTTTTGCTCTGAGAAATTATTTAGAAAAAGTACTATGAAAAGGTTACCCGGTACCTGACCAGTCCCTCATACTCTGTTCCCTCTTTCCCGGTCTGGTTTTAAAAAGACCCGTATAAAGTTTTTCCATGTTTCTAATCTTCAATCTTTTTTGCCGTTTTAAGATTCGGATGCTTCATCTCTAGTTAATTTCTTCCCAAGCTGTCATAGTTATCGTAAAACAGAGAATATATATATATAACGTTTTTAATTAGTCCAGCTAATGTCATTTCGCCGGTAAAACTAGAAATTATTTATAATACAGATGGAGAATTACGTTCATTGCTATAAAATCTCTCAGTTTGTTAATCAATAACAGATAGTTTAAATTTTAAAGAAAAATTTATCATTTTACGCTTTTACGAATGGCAACACAGGGGAAGATACAAATATTTTACTTATAAAAACATATACTATTTTGGAGTTCCTGGAAGTAAGTATGCTCCACTACGCTGCAGGTAGAAAGAGCCAGGTGTAATAATAAGTCTGTCAAAAACATTTAAATTTTCTTTATGTGAAAAATAGCAAAATGCCACTTTCAGATGATGCTAATGGTTAGAAATGAAGCTGAGTACGCATGGTTTTCTCGGGATCGTTTTTCGTGATTTTGAATTGAAATTGTAATGCTAGCATAATGTTTAATGTTGAAGTACAAATTGTCAGCAATTTTCATAATATATTTTTGAAATATCCCCCCCCCTTTTTTTTTGAATTTTTTAAATCGGTATATGTGCAGATCTTTCTTGGCACGAGAGGGCGCTGCGATTTTCACAGCCCCCCCCCCTTGTTTGATATCTAATTTGGCTACAACAGTGAAACTTGACCCATCTAAAAAAAATTCATTTTGAATCCATTTTATAGTCTTAACAATACGCTATGGAAAAAAGAGGCCTTTGGTCGTTCCCTACGTACAAAAGTCATGCAAAAAAAGAAGAAAAAAAAAAAAAAAAAAGAAAAGAAGAAAAAGGAAGAATGGATTCGGGAACTAACAAAGTAGATATTTCCTTTGAAATAAGATACCTGAAATTTTGTGCGAATATAATACAAGGAAATCAAAATTAAATAAATGTTGGTACTCACAATCAATGATATGGATGAGCCTGCCTATTCTTGAAGAGTTGTTTCATGTTTGGATGTATGCGGATAAGCTTAATTCCTAAATTGGCATATAAAGTCGACTTTTGTCCTTTGTTTTTATTATCGATGTTAGCGACGGAAACGCTTTCTGAAACAAATAATTTGAAGCAAACTTAACTGTAACTTTTAAAGATACGTTGTGCAGTTTTACTCTATTCCGTTTTCACTGATAATGAGGTCTAGAAATAAACCATATCTTCTGCTTAATTTCATTGTACGTCTGATGTCATTAGAGAAATTTTGTGACATTATAAGGGTTCAATATGACTTCTTCGAGTCACTTAGAGGCCAGATTATAGTCCATTTCTTCCCGCTGTGGTTTGATAATGTCTAATATTGCTAAATTCAGAGTGTTATGTATGTGTATTCGTGGGTCCTGCAAGTTTCATGTCAGGGGTGGCACATGCATTTTAGCTTTAGAAAGCCTGACAAAAAATCATATGGGATAGTGTCTGATGACCAGAGGGCTAAAGAAGAATCACTTTGTCGTTTGTTTCCACCAATCCAGTAATTAGGAGTCCCATTGTTTAAGAATTCACGCGCATCCGAAATCCAATGTGGAGACGCACCATCTTGCTGAAAGACGATATTATTCGAGTACATCCTGTAATTGAGGGGAAATCCAGATCTTTAAGATATCAAGATATATTGCCGTTTACTGTTCTCTTCCATGAAAAAGAACGGCCTTTACAGTTTGGTCAACTGTACAAAACACATTCACTGTAGCCAAATCTCGTCCATGCTGCACGGTACAATGAGGGTTTTCTGTCCCCTAGATTAGCACATTGAGCCGGTTAACTTTCTCGCTCATGAATACGTCTCGTCACTGAATACGAGGCTGGGTAAAAAGCATTCTCATGTTCAAATTTATCGTGCATATTCATACAAACGTCCATTCGTTAGTCTCTATCTCTAGGATGTAAAGCTTGAGTCATCTGCAAGGTTTCATTTGTAATAACACGCCCCTTTATTTTTCATTGTTTGCAGAAGTCCCAGTTCATAAGTCACTTCGTTACCTGATGTCTTTGGACTTATATCTTTGGCTGCATCATTTCTAGTTTAATTCATATGACTTTTACATGACGGCTATGATGGAGCTAATTTGGAACAAAGTTTTCTGAATCGAAACCTTTCTTTTAATAAGCTTCCATATTGGATAACTACGCACTTTGCTCCTGCTTTTATCACCGCTTAGAAGCTACCTCGCTGTTTTCTTCTTATCACAATAATATCAAAATGTTGTACATGTTCTGGAAATAGGTCCGATTAGAGTGCCAAACGAATCGTGGCCACAAATAGCAGTTGAAATAAGAATGAATATTAAACTGCCTAATACTGTTTATTATGAATCAGTATTTGCGTAATCAGTATTTCTATATTACATCCAAGTCTGCGTCACTGCAAACATTCTTCATAGTTTAATAATTCAGAAGAAGAATTTGTATGCAGGTATGTATGTATAATTGTTTATATTACATAAAAGGCTTTTTTTTCATAAAAATTTAAACTCAAGAGTGATACTAATTAGCAAATTAGCTGCTTCTTAATTACAAGATTAATTTTTATTTTTATACAGCCGCCTCGGAAGTTCTGAAGGATCTTTGAAAAGCAGAAGTTCTGAAGTAGAATGTGAGGTTGACGATTCCTACTATGATGCCGGTATTCAAAACAACCTCAATATCAATCCCAAGGAAAAATATTATCGACGTACATCTTCCACGAGGTGAGACAATTTTTAGATTCTTAAAATTTCTGGCATTTCTTTCACTCTAACGACACTATTTTTTAATTTTCATTAAAGTTAGCTATGTTATTTGTAATGTTATGCTAGATTTAAAGATTAAAAACATCTTTATTATTATGCATGCAAGAAGTTTTTCTTATGTTTATAATGAATGATGTGTTAATAATGCATTTACTTTTACGCGCTTAAACTATTCAAAGTACTTTTCTCTAAACGGAGGGCCAGTCGCCAAATGTGCGCCACATACGGTAGCCTATGAATATCACGTAATGAGCAGCTGTGTAATGAGAATATTGTATTTTACTTGCGTATTTCTCGCTTTTTTACATTATTTTACTAATTTTATCACAGTCAAGGGGGGAAAATTATGCGAATGGTTTAATTTCCGAAGAAAGCTGGTAAAGTAAAGTGGGAATTATCGAGGTATTATCTTCTAATTAAATTTGTAAATTAGAAGAAAAAGATTATAACAACCTGGAAAAATTCTCTAAATTTAATTTTAAAGAAACGAGAAACTATTAAATTTTAAAGCAAAGCAAAATGCAAACGGAAAAAAAAAAAAAATTATTTGAAAAACGTTTTAGAAAAATTTTAGAAGAAATTTTAAAAACATTTGGAATATTATGTATGAAAGGGAGCTTCATCGCATAAATAAGAATAAACAGTAATACTAACATTGCACTATCTTGCAAAATATCTTCATTTCCAACGTCTCTATTTTTTTAATCTCGTCCGCTTTTACTGTTACCTACTGCTGTTCCCCAGTCCACAATTCATTCAATGCTTTTAGATATTCTTCCTCTGTCGTCTACTATAGCTTACAAATCGTCGCTGTCGTCATCGTGGAAGGATTTTCAGAACTATCAAGAACATTAGATATTCCCGTTTTCATGAAGCTTTTTACTATAAACGTTTCGTTAGTTATGTTTTCAGGAAGCTTTTTACTATAAATCTTTCAGTTTCTCGGACGCCATGCATCCAAAATTCATTAGCAAATCAATTAGTAAAATGAAAACAACCATAATGTGGATTAACCTATCTTAAAATTTAGAGTACCTCACTTTCTGAACGTCGTGATGAAAGGCAAAAATATGTGAATACTTAAAAATTTTTCAGAACTTTGCGGCGAATAGCTGAGGGGAAATACCCGAGTAAATACGGTTTATATAATATTTAGTGCGCGATGCCGATTTTGTGTAATTCTCTGATCCATTTTAAAGGGAAAATAGATGGCTGTGTATTGGAGGAGAACAACAATGTTGTTGTCATTCACACAGCTATTTTGTTTTCGTTTTAAAATACATCAGAGAATCAGATAATTTGGCATCGCGTATATTAAACATTACGTATATACGTAAAACGTAAAATTTGTAAATTAGAAGAAAAAGATTATACCAGCCTGGAAAAATTCTCTAAATTTAATTTTAAAGAAACGAGAAACTATTAAATTTTAAAGCAAAGCAAAATGCAAACGTAAAATAAATTATTTGAAAAAAGTTTTAGAAAAATTTTAGAAGAAATTAAAAAAAAATTGGAAGTAAATATACAGATTAATTATTCAAATTAAAGATTCATATTTTACTTCAAATTGCTTCTTCAAGCAGTAATAATTTCAAACATTAAAACCTCAACAATTCAGAAGTGCTGAATTCACGTTTCGTTCCACTTGAATTTTTGAGCATAATTAATATAAAAAGAAAAAAGAATAAAAGAAAGAATTTCTATACAATTACATTTACTCTCGATCTCAAAAAGTATGATCTTTACCCCTACGTAATTTCAGTCTCGACAAATTTTTTTAATTAAAAAAAATTAAAAAATAATAATAAACAAATTATAATTTATAAGATTACAAAGAATATAAAATGCAAAATAAAAATCTTCTTTAAGAACTTCATTCTGTAGTTTTAAATTATATAGATCGGATGAGAACCGGTATTTTCAGCATGGTATGGCCGTTGACAAATTAAATAGATGTTCATCTATATATAAAATAGTTATTCTTTTCGTGAGGCTTTATATATCATTAGGACTGCCACCATCTAATTATAGATTTCGCGCCAACGATATGTTTGGCAATAAGTGGCGCGCTATTAACAAAAGAGTACCATATACAGTGTCCCTCATATTAGTATCTTGCATGAGAATTCAGAATGGTAGTAATAGTAGTTAATTTGAGTACTATAATATTGTATAATATATATATATATATATATATTTGGGTAATAATATATATATATATATATATATATATATATTTATATATATATAAAAATTGTAGAAAGCTCGCCTAAAAGTTACCAAGAGCTGCTGCTCCAAAAGGTTAAAACGTTTTCAAAAATTAATACCACATGAAAAGCAAATCATTAGACATGTAAAACATAAATAAAATTAAAAAACTGAAAAAAGTTAAAAAGTAAGCGGAAAATGGTAAATTAGCCAAATTCGACTTCCAAACAGGCTTTTCAAGGAAATTTCATTATTGACGTCGATCAAGCTAACCTCATTACGCGTTTCGCCGAAAAAGACATTGAAACTTTTTCTAAAAAATTTTTTGACAAAGTGTCTTGGAAATTTTAATAGTCTCAATTCTCTGTTCCAATTTCCCGACGCGTCCGCTCAGAGTGACACATTAAGGTGTTAAAATATGTTAAAAATCAAAACTTCCTAAATCTAGTCTAAAATTAAAATCAAAACGAAAATAAATAGCGATGAGCTATTAGTCAAAAAATAAAAAACATACGGGCTGGGCCTGCAAGCTTAAAGATTAACATTTAATATAAATAATAGATTTTAGAAAACTGTAAGAAAACCTGTAATAATATAAAAATAAAAATTAGAAAAGAAACGAACAAACTCAGTGGGTCTTGCTAAGACCAAGAAAAGTTGTAACAAAAGAAAAAAAATGACCTTGGCGATGTAAAGCTGTCCTCTGAAAACTTGTTTAAAATCGTGCTAACTCTAGCGTCTATTTTGGATGACGTACGGAGGGAGCGAAGTGCTGTGGGGTTTAGCCAATGGAAGTGATTTCTTGTCTGAACTCGTTCTATATCGAAGGGGCGGAAACTCGGAAACCTGAAAGATTCAAAAATGGCGCTGGCTTGTAGTAGGATGGAAAAAATTTTTTCGAATGAAAATGGCAATTCAGCTCAACTATAAAACTTGGCCATTAAAGCATGAGAAAAGACCAAAATTGGTTTTCATAATTGTTTACGTGCTTGATACTTTATATAATATATATATATATATATTTGGGTATAATGGGGCTACTTTGACGCAGTTTGTCGATTTTTTAGAATGTTACCTGGGCAGCCGCCTTCCATTGCAGGTATTCCATAAAGTCCTTCAAGCGCTTACTTAAAGTATACATACACACAAACGGACGCATACATACACACAAACGGAGAAAGGAGAGAAAGAAAGGGAAATAAAAAAAAGCACTACGATCAGTCTATAAAAATTGTTAGAACTTAAGTACGCTAAAACAAGTAAAAAAATGCTTTTGAAAATGGCGGCGTTGCTTGTTAAATCTAACGAATTATTACGCACATGGCGTCTAGAATTTGGTGCATTCTGAAAATCTGGCGATTTCTTGTAAGGCGACGATAAGTAAGTACAAAAACTGGATTACATGCAGTGATGAGCGAAAGAAGGTGGCCGGACCGGCGCAGCCGACTTGTGCATTTGTAAATTTGTCGGCAACTGTAAGTTAATGGTGCCCCGCATCAAGACACAAAAGTGTCCATCGAAGTTTAGTACCTACCATAAAGAATATAACCTTCTAGGTGAAGATCTAAATGAACAGTCACCGATTTGAATACAGGTGCGGGAACTTTTCACAAGTTCATCAAGTGATAGGGAGTGCCTGGCAAGCTTATAAAATTCAATTTATGCTATGGAGAATACAACCTTCAAGAGGCCGGAACACCCATTTCATGATCTATAAGAATACTCGTCGACTTACATAAAGGCGCCGGTAACCCAAGGTTCCTTTTTCCTTAGTTTGAAATTTTACATCGGCATGTTCTCTTCGAACAAGGGATGCCATGCGAATATCAAGATCAGGTGTATAGCATCGGCCAAATAATTTCAAGAAACCTTATAGATGAATACATAAATAAACTTTCGCATTTTCCTAGCTAAATGGATGTGAAAATACTATTTATATGTTTTACTTGTATTTATATTAAATTAGTCCATGCTCCATTAAAAAATGTAATTACATTAAGCGGCGAAAGAACAAAGCGGTTTTGTAAAACTTCAGATAAATAAATGTTGAGAAGAATTGTCAAGAAAATGAGAACTGTAAGGGCATGTTACTAATAACGCTACGTTGCTGCTCACGCCGACATTCAAGTATAACCTATACCAGATCTACTTAAATTCTTTAAACCCATTCATGATCCCTTTTTTATAATCGAGTTTTTTTCGCGACTTCAGCTATTAAATACAGAGTTTTGATATTTTACGAATTTCGTATATATGTCAATAATTTTAGTGCAATTACATACAAAACCGTAGTATCTACCAGAAAGATAAGGTTATAGGGACAAATCTATTTGACACTGAGGTAAATGATCATCTCGCTAAATTGTCAAGATAATGCCAAGCTGATGATGGATTTGGCGAGAAATCGACAAAAGTTATTACACTTGACGACCATTTGCAACATTTTGGTCCGGTATAACTTTAACTAATACTGTAAATTTCACAAGAAATCGCCCAAAGTCGCCACACTTGGCGACGATTTGGCAAGATTTTGGTCAGGTCCCCGTATAATTGTAATTGATACTATAATTAAATAATTCTGATTTATCTCTATACGTAATTGCAATCATATCTGGCCGTTATATGGGCTTTAATCATATCTACCTTCCAGTAATTTAGAAATGGTAGTTACTAGATATTTCTCGGCGGCCAGGAGGAAATCTGTATAAGACCAAAGAGAGCAGTTGTTTAGTTCAACGTTGAAAGAGTACTGAGTGATCTCGATGACAGCTTCACCTTTTAGATGAGCTTTGCATTGCGCTGTAACTGAATAATTGATACTGTTACTGAATAATTGTAGTTGATCCCTATATGTCACTGTAACCGTATCCAGCCCTTATATGAAACCGTATCTGCCTTACAGTAATTTGGAAAAATGGAAAGTACTAGAGATTTCTCGGCGTCCAGGGAAAACCCAAAGAGAGCATCAGTTCTCAGTTATTTAGTTTGGAATTGAGTTCGGAGTACTGAGTTATCTCCCTAAGAGCTTCACCTTTTAGATGCACTGTGCATTGCACTGTGTTTAACATTCTAAGTATTTTAGCGAGTAACTATTGATTGTACTCTGTGGAACTGAGAAACGCTGTACGAATATTTGTGGGGTGGAACTTTATCGAGCTACCATCGCTTCTGCGTGCATTTAATCCACGAACCTATACCCACGTAACAATTTATTGACATACAATTATACAATACAAAATTTATACAATGCATTTTTCGTAATTTTTAATTTAATATTAATTTTCAATGCATAAGAGTAAAGCAATATTTAGTTCGACGTATCTAAAATTTTGAAAATTTTGAATTTTGAATTATTGTATTTACGGGATGCATCCAGTTTCTAAGGGCCCCTAACGTTTGTCTTGGTAATAGCAGCTCATAAAAATGCGATTAATTGTTTTATAATATGACCATTTCTTCAAGCTGGGTGAGACAGATGATAGAAACCATCCGGCTGTCAGACACCTCTTGATCTTGATCACCAAGTTTTGAACAAATATTTGAATGAAGCCCGAATTTTGAATTTAAAATATTTTTATTTATTTCGTGTTTTGTGCGAATTAAATGACATTTTGATTACCAAACTCGACGATTTAAAAACAATGTATTGCCATCGGAAAAGCGTAAAATATTTGTTTCGAATTCAATCAGAAAACTCGGCGATTTAAAAGTAGTGTGTTGCACAGCAGGAAAACATTACGTATTTGTTTGTATTCGCAACTTCATTGGAAAACTCAGCGATTGAACAGAAAGGTGTTGCCACGATTCGGAAACAAATATTATCTTCCCCGCACCAGTGTGTTGCCATTCCGAAAAGCGTAATATATTTAATTTTTCTTTCAGATTAAATTTGCCTGTTACTGCTGTACAAACTGAGTGATTATGAAGCAATGAACGCAGTTTTTCATCTGTACTATTATTACAATAATTACTAGCTGGACCCGTCGAATGGCACCAACTATGACTCATTAAAATTATATCTATATATATTATTAATAACTATTTTAGGAGGCTGACAGGCTAGTCATTTTTTATAATTACAAATACAAATTTACTGTAGTGTTCCTTAAAAATTTTAGAACTTTAAAAAGTTTGAGAAAATCTGCTCTAGGATAGCGATTCCCACCCTTATCTCGCATCGAGCCCTTTTAAAGGGCTATCGACCTCTTTAATATACAGCATAAGAATGATTCAAATACTTGCACAAAACTAATTTAAAGATACCAATTATATTAAGAAAATGAACCTAAGTTTTGAAAAATGGTTTATTGGATTTATGTTTAATTATTTTTTGAATTATTATTATTATACTTTTAATTTTACAAATATAAACAAATTTTCAGAAACAAAATCACAGATTATAATTGCAAGAAAATTCGATTATAATGAATGGGATGGCTATGTTTAATGTACAGTTACAATTTTTTCAATATTTGGCAAAACAAATAGCTTAACTAAATTTTTAAATCATCCCCGTTCAAAAATATTCAACCTGTTTCTTATTCTCCAATCCATTTTTTCGTTCTCCATACTTTTTTGGATGTTGTCGTGTGTTCTTCGTATGTTTTTTTTTTTTTTTTTTTTTTTTTTTTTGTAGCGCACACTATATAAAATTATCAGTTAAAAAATTTATATTAAATAATTTTAATTTACTCTTTTTTGAATTTATTTTACATTATATGCTTCCTTACTAATACAGCTTTATATCAATAAACAATTAATTATCAGTTTTATTTACTTATTTTATAATTAATTGGGCTTTTATTATGCCGATCAACTTCTAGTGCATACTCGGCTATCCACCTCCCATTCGACCCCTTGATCATCATTGACCCCTTTAAAGACCCCCTAGGAAATTTCATCGAACAATATTGGGAACCCATGCTGTAAAGTGATTACTATTTTCAAAAATACTTGGAGGATCCCGGATGTTGATCGCACTTCGTACATGAAGTATTAGTTTTTTCCTTCGTATGTTGACACTTAAGTCTTTAACGTACTGTTTTGAACAATTTATCCTTGAATTCCAGATCGAAGAGTAGAAGAAGTTCGCAAATGAGTCAGAGGTCTTCGAGCATCAGAAGGAAGTCTCTGAAAAAGAAGTCTATAGATCAGGTAATTATATAAACGTTTTGGAAGTACTTCAGAGATAACAAAACAAAAAAAAAATTGTACTCATATCTTATCGATTTTTGCTGTTGTACTTTAAGAAAATCATTGAAACAGTTCGACGATAAACAGTCTGTCAATGTTAAACATCTGATGTGAGCCCAATGTACCTTGGTTGTATGATCTATTATATGACACATTTTTTGCTGTGCTTCATTTAAACACATTTCCTCGAATTATTCTAACTTAATTAACCACTTCCTCTACGCAAATAGAAAATCATATTAAAATTGTATATTTGAAATTAAATTTGAAACAGATAAAATAAGTCAACTAGATGTTATAGGAAATACAATATACAAAATTTCAACGTTCTAATCGTTAATTATTAAAAAACGACTTACAGATATATAAACGTGCGATACATACGTAAAGACACCACAAAAAAATTCCAAATTTAAATGTATATTATGATCTGTTTTGGAAAAAGAAGCCCTTTATTCTGTTCGTACTTGTAGACATCTCGCTAAAAAACAAGATTCGGGATCGGGAAAATTTTCGAAGTTACAGTACCTCCTTTACTTCGAACAAGGAAATAAAAATGGCTATTCGACATATAAATGCATTCTTATTCTTAAACATAATTTTAAAAATGAACGGTAAATTTTACTGTAAAATCATCTTCAGCGATGGGTCTGTTTTCATGTTGACGGCTTCGTAAACCAGCAAAATTGCCGCATTTGGAATGACGAAAAGAGAGGGAAACGCATCCCGTATGTGTCACTTTTTGACTGGAGCCATCACTGGACCATTTTCTTCGAAGACAATCAATGGCAATCAATCAAACAACCTAATTTTTTGTGCCTCAGATACGTCATCTCGAACATATGTGTTCCCAACAGGATAGTGCCACATCACGTGAAACAAGGGTATTATTGCACGACACTTTCTTTGGTCGTGTAATTTCTCGTATAAGTGACTAGATCATGCGATTTAACGCTTTTGGACTTCACTCTATGGGGTTTTTTTAAAAGTCAAACATTTATGTCAACAAGCTAGCAACCAGCCAGATCTACAAGGAGTAGATTGGACGCTCTATCACTAAAACTTTACCTTAGTTATGGCAAACTGTAATTGAAAATTCCGTCAAAAGAATTCAAATGTGCCAGCAAAGCCAAGGAGGACATTTATCAGATTAATGTCATTCTGTACTTATTTCTCCCATGACTATTTTGTGATTAAATCGGAATTTCAATATTTTTTCAAAAAACAAATTAATTTAAATTTTTCGTGGTTGTTGGGACATGATTTCAATGATGATATGGTGAATAACAGATTCGACATTCTTTCTAGAGCGTGCAAAATCGCAAGCGCGGAGTCGTTGAGGCTAGAAAGGAAAAAATATTTGAAATTCAGTGTCCACATTACACGGTAGTCTTGCACCTTCGATATTATAATCAAAACCGGTTATAGCGAATCGGGCCTATAAGGAATCGCAAGATATAACGAATAAATGTTTTCGTCCCCTGCAATTTCCTTTAGATTTAGTATTATTTCACACAGCCATAGCGAACATCTAAACGCATAAAATCGTACATTAAGAACTTTGTGGACATCTTGAACTGTAGACGTTTTGTATATTTTAAACTTTTTTCCAGACTTTCAGCAACTTTTAAATGAAAAGTAATTATCCCTTATGTTCATCATGTACTAGAATAACGAAAAACACTTTTACGTTGCTGTTATTTTATCTTCACTTCCACCTTTCTCTATGTTTGAAACAAAAGATTTATGAAACGCAGCTGTAGCGCTAACTTATTGGAAAACCGGGACACACAATAAGCATAATTTAGAAGATCCTATTGTGTTGTACGGTTACTATTATTTATAATTTCAGTCTTTACTGGGACTTCTGTTTTCCGTTTTCCTGCCAGAATGCAAATTAGTTTGAGAGTATTTAAGCTGAGGTTTTCAGATCGTAAGACAGAGCGTATTTCTGGCTCTCGAGGCCATGTTACTAGGTTTCGCTAACTCTGATAAGAATGTTATTAGTCGGCTTTGCGTTACTGCTGCCGACATTTAAATTATTACGCAGTGAGAAGTTTTAGCCAACTTCGCGTTAAATAAATTTTGTAGTCTTTGATTTCTAGGCTTAGTTTAAATTTTAATTTACTGTTTCTTTAAGTTACATCTTCCTAAGTGGTGATTAATTTGTAAGCAGCAGATGTGCATTTTATGTTCAAGTTCTGATTTAATAAAAACCTTAGTTTAAATATCTTCGAGACTCTGCTGTTATTTCAGACACGGTAATAATTCGATTGACGTCTGTTAGGAATTTGAGTCTAGTCTACGCTACCAAAGGAAACCAAACACTGTAGTGTTACCCATTACCACTGATCCATTGATACAGAGAGCTTGGATCCATTCTTTGATTCCTTTCGAGTTCTTCGATCGAACTCTCAGACAGACTTTATTACAGACAACTCTAATTAATGATTTTTAATACAGTAAACCCACGTCAACACGAATCTCATAGGACCGAATAATCATGAGTTCGTGTATTACCATAAGTGCTATATTATGTAATGCATGTCATCATCGAAAACACTACAGTATTATGTTAATTACTATACCGTAACATGAAAAATGCACTCACGAATCATTTTTGGTGAAAAACTCCTGTATATTGCAATGTCGCAGACGGGAACGAAAATGCCTAGTAACTTCACAGCCAGTTGTACTCGTGGCAAAAATTAACGGTCATTTCGCACTTGCAGCGAGACGTTCTACGGTGTCCAAGGCGTGTAACATTTCCTGACGAGTGGGCGGGATGATATTGTCCTGCTCAGTTTCATCTGATGGCATTTCTTGCACCTCAGACACAACTACTTGTACTGGAGCACGCAGGGCAACATCGTCATTTGCACTAACAAAATCCTCAAAACTAACAAGAGATCACAACATCTTGTACACTATTCCAATTCTTCAGGTGAGGCAATATCGTTGTCACCATCTAACTCGTCAACAGGGTTAGCGTTTTTACGTCTTCAGGCTATGCTAAAAGAGTTCTGTATGTGTTGTGATGACACGGATTTTCAGCTATGGTTTTTATTGAATCAAACTGCGTTTCCTTTCAGCAGCACAAATTGCAGCTCTCGGGATTCGCTCGCGATAAGCCCTTTTCATAACTGAAATAACGCCATCCAAAGGTTGTAGACAACTTGTTGCATTTGGGAGGAAAATATCAATGGATAAATTTGCATTCGTTAAGTTCAGATTATATATGTTATGGGCTGAACATTTATGTTACTGGGCCAGTGTCATAAGAGGTTTTTTAGTTAAATGGATCGGAAAATTTCTGAGCGCAAACTCTAGTAAAGAAACGACCAAAACATTATATGAGGAACTTTAAAAAATTAGTGTTAAATGACAAAATCTAATGACGTAATGGACCAAAAACTAGTTCATAATTCATGCTAACTGAAATTCGCGTTAACCGATATAACTTATAATATCATATACATCGCTGCTGGGACAGAAATTTTGTTCATGTTAACTGAGTGTTCATTTTCATCGAGTTCGTGTTAAGGGGGGATTACTTTAATTGTAAGCCTTCCAGACGGTATAGTGGTTAAGAGAGCCTACTGCGCTACCGAAGGGCCCGGTTTCGAATCCTGGAGAAGGCGTAGATGTTTGTAAATGTATAGTGGCTTTGCAGCATATGGGCACTCTAAATATATGGCGAACCGAAAGTCCTCTCGTGTGGTTTGGTGTTAGGGAAGAGGGGTCGGTTTGAGGGGCAGCCCCCTCCCAGGGCGCTGCCCTTCAAAATTTGGGTGGAAGTAAAAGTTCAACGTCTTTGAGGCTCTTGCAAATCATTCTTCCATGAAATACAGGGGCAAGGCAACTTTAATTGTAAATTCATAATTTCAGATGGAAATGTGTCACTAGAGGAATGGGTATATACACCCTGACATTCATACTAAGTATTTTTTCCTGTAAAATTTTTTACGTCTGGTGGAATTGAGAAACAACGGAAAAGAAATTTAGAAATTGCGCTTAATAATAATTGTAATTAACTTTTAATATTTTTATTACTTGAAATTACTATTAGCATCTTTTGGGATATACGCCAATGCTAATCACTCTTTTTTGTCAGATTCATTAATAAATTTTTACTCTATTTTTTGAGTTGATTCATTTTTTTTTCTTACCAGATTGGGATATAGCAAAAACTTTCGATCCCTAAAAGTTCGTTATATTCATAGTGGGTTTTGATTGTAACTTTATTTAATACTTCGCAGTAGTTGAAGAGGTACTTTTTTTTTAACGCGGCGCCACTAAACCCAAAATATAAACATTGGCGAAAATCTAACTAGATTACTTCAACCCTAAAGATAATATAACTTAATGGGGAAAAATGATCTTGTAATAACAGTAATGCAACATATAACGTTTATTTAATATGTGCAGTAACGAAGCTGTGTACAGGCATTGATTCTGGTTATACTGCTTGTGTAGCTCTTCGCAAATTTTGATGTAAGATCCCTTCTTTTACTATTACTTAACCACTCGCGTGGAATTTCGGCTTGCCGGTACCAGAGTATGCCCATGATACACACATACATTTATAGGCATTCTTGCCTTCTCCGAGGTTAGAACCCCTGCCCACCGGTAAGGTATAATCCTACGAAATGTACAAGTTCGGCATCGCGCGCAGGCTTAGACCATCGCGCACATTAAATATGGCACAACTGTTTGTGATGTGATATGAACCAGTTACAGATTTGGCTCACATTGGTGACAAGCGCACTAACAGAAAAGCACCGTTAAATTATTTACTTGCTGCTGCGTACTTTTCTTCCATGAGGAATGCCCTAATGAGATATTGTACCTAAACGAGTCAATGTTCATACAGATGACGATTAATAAAATGCATTCCCAATGAGCAAAGCATTCTGAAATTCATGTCCACACCCAACCTATTGTGACGTCGTGGATGCTTCAGTTGTAAGGGAATTAACACTGGTATTGGTGATGCATCACTTTTTATTCACAGCAGCTACCACAGATACAACATTTAATTAGAAAACTTTAGTAGATATCCGAGCTGGTGACATGATCAGAGACGTTAACGAAGATGGCACTCGTCATCACTGGACGAATAAAGTCACCACACCTCAGCTCGCTGGCGGAGCTTGCCAACCCTCTCTCCGACAGGCGTCCGAAAAGAAGTCTCATCTCTTTACACATGCGGCATTACTCAGTTACGTCGTTGCCATTCACAGTTCTTTAAAATAGGTATTAAAAAAATAAATTATAGTCCTCGTAGTGTGAGGGATCGGCTAACGAAGTTCTCTCTAGTCGAGAGCATCATAGGTCTTTCTAGTAGAGAGTTCAGGAGCGTTCTTTATACTTTGTAAGTGGAAAAAGAGTGTCCGTGTGTTTGTTTTTCATACAAATATACAGTTTTATTCCGATCTTGATAAAATTTTCCCTTCAAAGGTCAGTTGAAGGTCAGTTGTGCAACTGACCTTGGAAGAGGATGATCCCTGTCTACGGTTTCGAAAATCCATTCTACAGGGTCCATATTCAGGGTGTTCATATTAGAACGGTACACTTTCGATACCCATTACTCATCTTAGGTTCACATCGCCATTGTGTCTTTCCCGCTATCAGTGGAAGTCATAGATGCTAAGCAGGGAATTCTTAATATTTTTTTACAAAAAATAAATATTAATATTTCTACATAGTTTCAATTTTGAAATCTCATCACCCACCCACAGGTTCACGTCGCCGTTCTTGCTTTCCCGCTACCAATTATTACTAAAACCATCATATGAAGCCATGCTCGTTTACTTTTGAAAAGAAAGTAAAGTAGAATTTAAGTGCTTTACTTATGAGTTTTTCGTGAATATTTCAAAAATTATGAAGAAACCGGCTAAAGTGGATGGTAACTTTCCTGAACAAAAGACATAACCGGTAACAAAAGCAAGTATCAGTTCTTACTAAAGCTATTAGATGGCACTATATTAGTTATCTCTTTAGAACTTTTCAGTACAACGTAGAACCTTCAGAGGGAACTTTAGATGAGCTCCTTGTCAGTTTTTCGCGAAAAACCGAAAACTCGCTTTTCGCGAAGTACATGGAAAATGGTATTTCGTAAAAGTTCCTATTCGTCTTCCTAAATGAAGCCTCTTCACTCTGAGGAGTAAAGTCCCAGTAGTGCAGGTATTTCAACTTATAACTAAATAAATTTGAAACTTTTTGAAGTGTCTTACTAATTGATGACCTTCTATTGTTGGCAGGGAGCAGCCCCTTCCAGAGTTTTCAAAGTGGTCTTCGTGGGCGACTCCGGAGTGGGAAAGACGAGCATTTTGCAGCGCTTCTGTCTAGACGACTTTAAACCAACCTTCAGCGCGACCATCGGTGAGTGTTGCAAAACATTTTAAAGAATATTCTTCATATTCTTAATTTTTTTGCTTATTATACCTTCAGATGTACAGGGCACCGATAAAAAATGTAAACAAGTTTAAACATTAAGGACGGTTGAATTCGTTTTGTTGACGTTGTTTTTACAAAATCAGTTGGTCTTTAGAATAATTAGAATACTTTCTGGTTATGCACACACGTACGAAATGTCGCCAACTCATTGGCGGCTTTAAAAATTGGCGAAAAGCACTTCTTTTCCTATCTTTACAGCTGAAGTTGTTAATCCCAATTCTTCTTCACAGAATTTCACTGATGTACATTCCTGCTGCCCAAGGCTGCCCAGTCTGTATAGTGGTTAGTAACGTTGTCTGTCATACTGATGGTCCTGGAGTCGAATCCGGGTCCGGAAAAGGTATGGATGTTTGTAAGTATATGATGTCTGTGCCGCAAGGGGGCATTCAAAATACACGTCGAGCCAAAACTTCTCTAGAGAGGCTGGTGGTAGGCTTATAAAGGGTTGGAGATCTTTGGGCGGTCTTCCGGGTGCTACTGAAGTGAAAGCTTAACACTTATGAAGGCTGAACGATATATATTGTATACCTATGAGAATGCACAGGTGTCTGCTTTGCTTCAAACTTTACCTCACATTATATGCTTTTACTCCAAAATAAGTAAAGCGTACAGCTGTTCCAAAGGAGCTACGACTGTCTTTAAACCGGTTTCCGAACCGCATTCTAGCATTCTGCTCCCATTTTTTTGACGTTGCATTTTCACAAAATTCAGCCGAGAGGCAAAGTCGCCAACGGCCGAACGGTAAAGTAGCTAAACACTAGTAATTCGACTGGGTTTGATTCCAGGCAAATGGGCTGGCTGCAAGGGTATTTTCGTAGTATTCTTGTTGTGTAACTTGGTTACGAGCCAGTTTCCTATAGGAAATCCTTCATGAAAGCCTCCCTGTCCTTAGGCGGATTCGTTACTGTTCTGACATCAACTTCAAAGACCAATAGTTTACTTTCTTGACGTCTTGGATCCTCAAAAAGAGGAATGAACATTTAATCACCGGTTATGATTTTGAAAATATCGAAGTTGTAGGGAATCCCATATTAATTAACCAGTTATTTATAATTTCAAACTTTACTAAAACTTCTCCTTTCGGTATTGCTCACCAGAATGCAAACAAGTCGCCATTATTTTACCTGAGGTTTTTATATTTTAAGAGAGAGTTTGTTTTCGGCTTCGCGTGCACGCTACGTGTGAATTTCCTGCCAACTCTGATAATTGTAATTATTCGGCTTTACGTTCTGTCGCTGCCGACACTTTCTGACCTCCAGTATAATAATGAGCCAGCTTCTAGTAATATTTAATTATGTAGTCCTTGGCTACAGTTAGACTTTTGATTTAAATTTCTATGTTCTATTTTAGTTGCATCACCACGAGTTATGACTTTCATTGCAGCCCAAGAGCCTACGTGTATGTTTTAAATTCTGCTTAAATAATAGGTTTATTTTAACCTTTTCACGACTTTGTTATTTGTTTCCGACATAGGGATAATTAGCTTCACTTCTTGGACTAAATAATAACGTTTACGAGATCAAGTGAAGTCCCACAAGGTATTCACCATCATTAAGCAATTTTAGAGTTCCTTGACCGGTTCTGACATGCTCGTATTTTGTGGTTCTGTTTCATTTATGCGAGACCGAATGAAGAACTAATATTTTTCACATCAGGAATAAATTTTTGTACAGCTGCAGATCCAATATTAAGTTTCTTCTGTATCATTTGATGGGCAGGGTAATTATCATTCATTTATATTTTTGTATAGCCGACACATTTTCCAGAACTACAGCTGTGTTTCATCCTTGAGAGAATTTATACATGTAATAAATAATTTTCTTTTCGTACAACAGATAAATTTAAAATGTTGCCACATATTAACGTCTGCGGACACAAAAGACTTCAAATTTACGTATCTAACAAATAGTTTTCTTTTAGCTCATATTGTCTGCCCCTGTCTAAAAAACATTTCTGAGATTATTTGATAAAATATATAGACTTCAAATTTACGTATCTAACAAATAGTTTTCTTTTAGCTCATATTGTCTGCCCCTGTCTAAAAAACATTTCTGAGATTATTTGATAAAATATATTTTCCAAATAACGTGATTTATGAATTGATTTTTTTCTAGGTGTAGATTTCCAGGTGAAAACCATCGAAGTAGAAGGAGAAAGGATTGCCCTTCAGCTCTGGGACACCGCAGGACAAGAAAGGTAAATGCTGTGCTATACATAGTTAGATAAACAATAATGAGATTTTTATAAATTAGTCTAACATAGGTGCTCTCAGGCACGGGGAATTTTGTACCTGGGGGGATTTTATGCTTTCGGGGGCAAATGTGACTAGCCTTTTGTTTATTTGTTAAATATTTAGTTTTAGTTATGAATATAGATAACTGGTTTTATTCAAGTTTTGGGTCTTTATCAATATTTTCTATACATTGTTAGTGTAGCTTTGTTTAATTTATAAAACACATTTAAAAATAATCTAAATGTAAATAAATATCTATGAACGTTTCGAGTTTTCGAAAGAGAAACGATCTTCTAGCAATAATGAAAGGAATTCGTGGGGCAAAACAAGTTGAGGACTGCCGGTCTCGAGAGTTCCATTAATGCAGCTAAACTCCGCAATAACGAAACCTCGGCTATAAGAAAGATCGCTTACGATCTCCCGGATATAACGATATATAATGAACTTTTATCCCTCTCCAATTTCCTATACTCTTAACTGTTATATTATAAGGCTATAACTAACTTTCAAATGTAAGAAAATCAGTATAATGACCTAGATGAATACTTTCCATTGAAATTTTTGTAGTTTTCGTATTTTTACCAGAATTTTTGCAAGTTTAAACGAAACAGTTGTAGAGACACTAGGATTTTTTGATGTCGGAGAGATGAAAAATTAACTATCGCCTTCGCCAGGAACCGAACCACGGACCTCTGAAATACCGGCTCAGTGGCTCTGAAATACCACTACACCACGAAGGCACGCTAGGAAGGCGGGAGAAATACCTTATATACTCCCCCTTTTAAAGGGCGACTGGGGTTTTTAGGGGACCCAATCGTCAAATCCTGGGTCAGGAGAATCTCATCCAACACCCTTTTAGAGACATTAGGCTTTTTGGAAGTCGGAGAGATGAAAAATTAGCAATCACCTTCGCCAGGAATCGAACCTTACCGAACCACGGATTGCTTTTTTTTTTTTTTTTTTTTAAATGTTCAACTTTTCTCCGTGTTCTGAACAGACTGTGCAAAACGTGTGTGACACCCGATCTAGGAGAACGAGGATACGATAAGCAACTCATAGTACATTCTATGGCGTCTTTAGTACAGGGTGCTTATAAAATAACTTCCGCTATCTATGAAACCCTAGCGGCCTATCCACTCAACCAATCGAAATGAAATTCCAGATATTGTTATTTGAAAGTATGAGCTCAAAACTGTAATAATTTAACAAAGTACAGCTATCAGGGTTACATTGAAAACATTTCGAAATTTTTGAATGGCATCACCCACTTTTTCCTGTGCAAATTGATCAGCGCATTGAAAAACCATAAATGGCATTGGAACTATACACGTATGACGAAATTTTCTGGCATAAAACATTTGCAGAGAACATTGTAGAGGACCAATGACAATGCGAGAGAGGAGAGGAAAAAAACTTTCATTGGAATTGCATGCCATTTACTGTTTTTCAGTGCGCTGATCAATTTGCTCAGAGAAAGTGTGCTGCCATTCGAAAATTTCGAAATTTTTTGCCTCTTCCTTTACCGTGAGACCTTCATTGTTTCGAATCATCACAGTCTCCATCTCATACTTTCAAATAATCTGGAATTTCATTTCGATTTGCTGAGCAAATAAGCCGCTGGGGCTACATATATCGGGAAATGTTTTTAATTACCAACCTGTATATGTGAAAATTATTATGTTGTTATTGCTGTTGTGTTTTATCTCATTTGTCTGAGAGTAACATCAGAACAAGCCCACGAAACTCTTCGCGGCAAGGAGTAAAAGATTGGGCCTGTCGTTGGCAAGGGTCTTGAGCACCAGCCCCGGGTGACAGTACGATTTTGCTCAGTTCCAACCCCAGTTTAGATGGGAAGCATCCCGGAAGACGGGTCCAAGGGTCTCCTTTCCTACTATCAGCCCTTCGACTGGCCGCATCTCTAGAGTCGCCCCATGCCGCACAGACACTATACATTTACAAACATCCATGCCTTCCCCAGGATTCGAACCCGGGTCTTTTGATATGGCAGTCAGTATCGCTAACCACTATCCCGGCTGGGCGGTATATGTGAGCAGTAAACTAAAGAACGTAGTGAAGATGAATTTGATGGGATTATACTAGAATCGTAGAATTTGATGGCAACTGGAGTAGTATTGCAAGTCATATTATTATAGATCGCAGAATTTGATGGGAACCAAAGAAAACCTATTTCTTTGATTCTTATCAAATTATTTGACTGAGTTATCAGACAGAATTCTGTTCGAGGGTCGTATTATGATGAAAATTTTCGCTATTCCGGGGGAAGAGAAAGCAGCGAATCTTAAGAATTTGGGTTATACAATTGATTCGTTTTTAGGGAAAAGAAATGTATTATGCTTAGCTTTGTTTCTGTTGTTGTTTGAGTATACGAGTAAATGCTATTCATATTCTCTTCTACGAACAAACGTTTGCATCCGTAAGATTTTTTGAAAGACGTAGAATAAGCTTTATAAAAAGTTATTGAATGTTTCCTTCGCAGCTATACATATTGTTGCATGCTTACGGATTTGTAATAAATTGAAAGCACACAACACCGATGAAAGGCTGATAAAGTTTATTTTATCAAAAGAAACACTTCAGAGTTATGAAACTTTCCACATAAATACTTGTACATGTGTTCCCAGTATCACAGAGTCCAACCAGTAGTCACACTTCCAACTATTAAGAACGTTAAACACAACACAAGCAAATCGCATCTAAAAGGCGAACCTTCCAATACTCCGAAGTCTCTCTGAACTAGCAGCTCACAACAACAGTTGAGAGCAGATGCTCTCTCCGGCTTTATAAAAGTTTCACCCGGCTGCTGAGATATTTCTAGTACTTTCTACGTCTGGAAATTACTGGAAGGCATATAAGGGCCGGCTTGCGATTACAGCTACGCAGAACATCAATTACAGTTATTCAATAACTGTTACGCGGATACAGGAACCGGACCCAAAAGTCGTGAAGTTGGGCGGTTTTTGGCGATTTCTCTCCAAATTCGGGGACAAAAAAGTCGCCAAAACTGTTGCTAGTTTGACGATATCTCGACAAATTAGCGAGATAACCATTTACTCAATCTTAAAAGACTTTCCCCTGTATCCTTATTTTTCCGATACAGCATCCTCCTCCTAGATTTTTATGTTACATTATATAGGAAAAATATATAACACTTTTACATATAATGTTACTAAAATTATCCGTATATGTACAAAATTCGTAACAATATTATCTTAACTCCAGTTTTGCATCATACGCTATCGCAAAAAGGCAGATTTACATGCATGTTTAAATAAAGAGGAATACAGAATCTTCTAGAATTAAATCAATGCAATTCATAATAGTATATTCCTATCAATATGATTGTATTCGTATGATATTCATCCCAACTTATTTTCGCTGTTTAATCTTCCGTAATTTTTCTTACCTATTCCCTTTTTATTTTGAAGGTTTCGAAGTATGACACATCAGTATTTCCGTAAAGCGGATGGCATCATCGTGGTGTATGACGTAACTTCTGAGATTTCATTTAGGAATGTGAGGAATTGGATACATAATATTAAGGTATAAATTTCAGAACGTAATAATACTTCAATAAAGTTCTCTTAAAAATATAGTTTTCTTCATTTTAAATCGACTTCTGTTGAAAGAAGTTTAAACTATAGATTAAAAAATTATTTCCCTATACGATTTTCTAATATTATGAGTTATATATATTACTGTTTTATTTCTTTATTTGTCTATTATTGTATACTGTTTTATTTCTTTATTTGTCTATTATTGTATACTGTTTTATTCCTTTATTTGTCTATTATTGTCTTTATTTGTATATTATCAACCGCGTCTTGCCGCCCACCGTGGTTTTCTTTTGAGCCCACAAATGCGCATTGTGCTGATTGAATACACCATCCTTATTGAATGTGCCCTCAACAGTGAACAACACACAAGGTAGGAAATTTACATCTCGGACACTGTGCGAAACGCACACATGCAGGATGATCATCGAGGAGCGGTAACTGAATCCTTTGGCGATAAAAGACAGACTCGACGTTCAAATTACGCTGTATTCTGCAACGAGACACTCTTAAGTCAGAGGCAAAGGCACGTATGCTGATACTAGGATCAATATATCCTGGGCAGCCAACACACTTTCTTCCATAACAACTAAACAGCCTGTCTTTTCTAATCCTGCTACTCCTTAATGATCCGTACTCACACAAATTTCGATGCACACGTGCAAACACATTGTGATGCCTATCTGGGAAGCGTTCTCAATAAAGTTGTTCAGCGGCTTGTCCGTTGCCCTGAGCTATTACATACACTAAATGTATGTATGCAGCCTCACCTTTCATATACCGTTGCATGCTCCCAGCTAGCGGCTAGGTCGCTGGCTGCCCTCGTTTGTGAAACGACGGAGCCCTTTCCTTTGAGATAAAGGACACTCGTGTCCAGGTGGGCTGAAGGGAACTTCTAATTATTACAATTCTTACCGTTGCATGCTCTTCGTATACGGGCTCCCGCTCGAATGAGGACATCCTCACTTTCTCCAACACCACCTAGTGGCGTTCGATAACGTTTCCGGTCATCAGTTCTTGTGCAGTTCCACGGCCAAGTGGAAGACGGCAGTTCTCAGGATGCGCCCTACCTTCCCTAAAGGTTTGTCACTACATTTTTTAGACACCCTGTATGTATATATTTATAATTTTGAGTTCAGAAAGTATAATTTCATAAAAAAAATTACTGGTTCTGATTAGATATCTTTTAATTAGATTTATTGGTTCTGATTAGATATGATTTAAAAGTGCACTTTTATTTAAATGAGTCCGATGAAAAAGTAAAAAAAAGTATTTTTGAGAACTGCTTTTATTGCTTGATTTGTTACTTAGTAGCAGACAGATTAAATATGAAAGTTTTACAATTCGCTAAAAGAAATAAATACTTTATACAAAAACGTGTAGTCTCTAATTATTGAATGCATTAAGTTTCAAGTGTCCAGGTATTTCAAACGGTAACTAAGACCTACATAAAACTTCGATCAACGTAGGTAAAGAATGTTTAGTATGATTTCTGTAAAGCTGGATGACTGCATGTATAAGTAAATGTGTAAATGTTAATTTTAAAAGTGTCTAGGCAACCAAATTTGTAAAGCATGTTCTAATTACCCACTTGTCTTCCAATGCTACTTCATTGTCTCTCGCACCAATAAAACTTCGTCCGTACGAAGGCTTTGTTCTCACAAGGTTTTGCGGCTTAAATTTAATAAGATTCTCATAAGTTTTCTCATAAGATTTTGCGGCGCATAAGGCGTAAATTTCCTTTCAAGCCTGTGTAAGTTAAGGGACCACAAGCGCCGAACGGTGGTGCTGCTGAATACTAGTAGTTCGGTCCAGGGTTCAAATCCAGTGAACAGGCTGTTGCACGGTCTTTTTCGTGATTTTACCCATTTGTTACGCGTACACGAACCAGCTTTCCTTAAGTCCTCCACGAAGGTATCCTTTCCTTTACGCAGATAGCCGTCGAGTGCTTTGCCATGATCAAATAAGCCAAACCAAACCTGTGTAATACATTTTAAGCCGCAGTCAATCAACGAAGGTACGCTGCGTATGCATAAATGTGCAGCTAACTGAGTGAAACCGTTGACCGGACGTCAGTTCGTGTTTGCTTTGCTATAATTTGTCGGTTCTTACACTAAATTGGCATAAAGTCGAAAAGCAGAGGATCTCCGAACTTTTTAGCCTGTTCGCCATATTGGCTCTTTCACGAGGCTTTGAGACACAAGACCTAGTTTGTTCATCATACCATGGTGATGTGTGTTTGATGAATAGCAGGTACATGTTTTTAAACAAGGCAGCAAGATTTTTGCGGCTGGATCTATGACGCTGTGATATTACGCAGAGCCTTGTTTTGTACACTTTCATCCAGTTTCACCTAATATAAATTTTTAAACATCCGCAAAATTATTCTTGCCGCAGAAGAGATTTCTTCGGTTTGCAATGTATCGTTACTTTTAAGTGGATTTATCTCCTCGTCGTAACAATTAATCAGCGCATTTTGGTTACATTTTGATCAGGTGCAAACTTTCGCTCATAGATATTTCATATTTTGGGCAAGTTTTATATGATAAAACATCTCCAAAATTAAAATGAATTACATTATTTACAGAATGAAAATTAAGATTTAAACAAAATCGTTGCTTAAAATATTTACGAGCAAACCTAGAATACTACTATATAAATAGATAAAGATAACACACGAAATCTTTATTCTCTTAAACAGCACAATTAAAAAAAATTAATATAGTGTTAAGTCATTAAGTCATTGTAATTTTAGAAACGATTGTAATAACGTTTTCAATATTTTTTATAAAGCTCGTGCATGACAGACAACGTACTTATAGATTTGCTATTATACAAAATAATTAATGAGCTTGCTTAAATCTTATAAAATTACTTTAAAAAAACCTTTGCTGGGCGATATTCATTGCGCTCGCGGGCTCGATCCGACCCGCGGACCGTAATTTGAAGACCCCTGTTTTAGAGCATTTAAACAAAACCCTATAACCAATTTTCGTGACGTTTTAAGGTCTTGTTGCCTAGCAACGAAGTTCGACTTACTCCTCTTATGACCGAAAGCCTCATCTGATTTCTCATCATCGTTCAGTTTGGAAAACTATAATTTAAATGATCATTTCTTCTTAGTTTTATTACTTTATAATTTTGCAAATGTTTCACAGGAAGGAGCGGAAGAAGGTTCAGTTATTATGCTGATCGGAAACAAGACAGACTTGTGTGAATCCGAGGACGATAGAGTTATACGAACCAAGGATGGCACAAGAATGGCTGATGTAAAAATGAAATTTTGATTCTTGTTTATTTCAAATTTTGAAATCATAGCAACTAAGAGAATTTTTGAACTCCTGACTGAAATTTTTTAATTCTTATTTACCTTTCTTTTGAAGTTTTATTTATATGAGCACCCATTTAAGTTACGTTATGGTTATTTAAAACCCCATAGTTAAGGTATAGTCGTATCTCGGTATACGTTCGCTTTGAAATACGTTCTGTTTGGTAGCGAAAAGTTTTGTTTAGTATGCGATATTTGGAATACGACTCGATTTTGATAAATCTCGACTGCGCGGATTGTACTTGTTCACCTCTTTCAAGAGTTATACATGCTATGCAAGGTCCGTACAGTGCATCCTATGTACATATCTAGAGTTTCGCGGGAACCCAAGATATGCGTACGTACCGCGCCTTAACCAACGATGACATGAGTATCTGGGACTTGTCTATTGCATACCGAGAACGACGATACCTATGATTGTGAAAAACGAAGACGTTATTCAATACTATAACGCTGCAAATACGGTGAAATGGATTACCAAAGATCATATTACAAACGTGTTATTGTCAAGCAGATGAGATAAGTCACAATATAACATATTAACAAACGTTAGAATGTGTTGAGAAATTGCTTTTCATCTGGATAACAGAGAAAACATTTATGTACGGTATATATTGCACTTACACCATCCGTATTTTAGTATTAAACAGTGTTACGATAATAACTATAGAACTTTTTCCAAGTATGGATTTATTATTTTTCCTCTATTTCTTATTGGAAAATTCATTAGATGTACGTCTAGTTTGATATAAATCCAAGAATTCGAAACGAATTAATGACGTATACCGAGGTACCACTGAATTAGCAAATTACCTATTCTTATAGATAAAGTTTAAAAGCTTTTGTTTAGTTAATTAATGGCGTTTCACTAAGGACGGAATTTTGACATCGGATTTTAATCTACTGATAATTCACCGAGTTCAAATTTTCTACACATACTGTTGATCGATGACAAAGACTTGTGGTGAAACGATGGGTTCAAAATTTGATTTAGATTTATTTTTCAATTAATGCTTAACTGATTTTTCGCACATGTCTTCATTTGACAAATAAACTAAAAATATCATAATTTTATTGTTTAAACCATAGAATAGAGAGGGAAAATAATCTTTTAAGTTAACTTACATAAAAATTGTAACTTCATTTCCGAATTTTTGGCGAATTTTCGAAAATTGCTCGATTGTTTCGAATGCTTGACGTAATTATTGGGAGTAAAAGAGGGATTAGTCATTTTTGAAAAACGATTTTTTGATCTAATAGTTTGATTCATAACGTGTCATTGAGACTAAAGAGATAAAAATAAATAATAAATTATACAAATTGTTTTTAAAAAATAAGCTTTTATTTAAAACTCATAAAATAATTAATGAACTAAAAGGAAAAAATGATTTTTCTTATAGTTTAATGGGAAAATTAGATTAAATAATTCATTTTACATAATTCATCTACAATTTTAGATCACAAATAATAAAAATGCCCGAACCTAAATAACGAAATCTATTTATTTAAGTGCATTCTAACAAATTAAGTACAAAAATGCAACAGACGTTCACAATAAAACACTTTCTACTCAAACTGTTATGATATTCCAAACATTTAAATATTTACATAAAAACTTTTTCCATCTATATACTATATGTGTATCTGTTACAATGCAGGTATTTTACACTTATAAGTTTAAAAATTCAGAGTTGATTTACTGTGTGAGATTTCTATTTAATGATATTTTACTGTGCTTTATTACAGGAATTTGGAACTCTGTTTTTTGAGACAAGTGCCAAAACTGGAAACAGCATAAACGATGCCATAGCTGCTTTAGCTAGGTGAGATATTTGAATCCTATTTCTGGGCATTATTTCTAGGCTTTTCAGGACTACTACTCCTTCTAATTGCTTTTGCAAACATACTGGAGTCCTGAGTAAGAACAGGGAGTTTACTTTAAACTATGTACGTCAAAGTGTAGAAGATATGACACAAATGGGAAGGGTTTAACTAACCTTTATTCTTCACAGTTTACAGCTATTCCCGCACTTCGGGATACAAAGATCAGTACTTATAAGAACTACAAACTAACTAAATAAATAAGAACTAAATTTAAATGCTTTACAAAGACTAGTAACGCTAAGACTGGACTTTGACTTTTAAAGTTTACGTATGTAGTAAGCAGAATGCGGGAAACTACAGTACGTCCGCAAGTATGAAAGAGAGTTAAGTTTTGAAATCAAAGGCAGACAAGAACTGACTGAAAAGCGCGCGCTAGGTAAGGTAGCGAGAAGTCTCTCTCTTGGCTAAAAGCCACAACTTAAATACTTAACAATTTGCAAGCTCAATTTGCATAAGCAAAAGTAACTGCGATTTTTCTGGCCGGAAGTGAAAAATAAGAGACAGCAAAATTTTAAAACAAAATGAACGTTAGTAAAACTTAAAATCCTTACAGGCTTATTATTGAAATTGTACCACCCGTCTAGAATTGTTATTATAAAAAAGAAAACTATACATAAGGAATAGAATGAACCTAGCTAGTGTCATTTCATGGGTCCAGCTAGTAATTCATAGTACATGAAATGAATTACTGTTTTAATTTCTTGAATGAAGTAAAGGAAGTATTGTAATTGCGAAAATTTCGGGTATCATATTTCAACGGAAATATTCATTTTAACAGCTTTCGAATATATTTGAATTTTTTTAGCCCAAAGGGCGTTTTGGGCGTTAATTTCGTTTTGGCATTTTGCATCGTAAACTTTAAGTATCCGCTTCACTTATAAAGTATTTCTCCCGCCTTCCCAATGTGCCTTCGTGGTGTGGTGGTCTGCACGCTAGGCCGGTATTCCAGAGGTCCGTTGTTCAATTCCCGGCGAGGGCGGTTGCTAATCTTTCCTGCTTGGAAAAAATATCTTATGTCTCTACACTTTTTTCATATTGTTGCCACCGAATGTTATTGCCCTGTGTTGTATTTAAAGAAATTAAATGGTGAAGAATCTGCATAAATGCATGTATGTTTCTCGCATTGTGATAAAACAACGGTACCTAGTGCCATCAAATTTTGAATAACTTACGTTTCCACCTGGGCATTTGGATTTATTTAATTTATTTCAATTATCTATTTTATATTTTTTAAAACTTTAAAGAATTTTTGGTTAACAAACTCAACGATTTCAAAGCGAGCAATGGCAACACTGTACTAAAAAAACAAACATTTTTATCTCCAGCGCTCGAGACTGAGCATCAGAAATTCTAAAGATATGCTCATTTTTAAATTATTTTGCGATATTGCTCTTGAACTGAATTTTATGGTTGAAATGCTAAGAACATGATATTTAATCAATATTTTTTTTTTAGGAAGAAAAATCTCCGCCTATGATTTTGTCTGCGAGACAACCTATGTTAATTTCAAAATATAAGAAAAAAAAGTTTTACTTTGATTTTAAAAAGTCGAAAAAGTTCATTTAAATTTTTTAGAGCAAAAATATTTCATTTGCATTTTCAAAGATGAAAATAGAAATCCATTGCAACTTCCTTTAATATATATATATATATATATAAAGATTTTTTTTAATTCGAAGATACATATCTTCTAAAAACCTAAAGCCTCATTTATATTTTTTCAGTGCTGAAAATATTTTCTCAAAGATGAAACCGTTTCATTTCAATTTTTTAAGATTAAAAAAAGTACATGCATTTTTAAATATTTAAGACGAATTTTTTTTTTTTTTTTTTCAAGTAAAAATAGAAAGTACATTTGAATTGATTCATCCTATAAATTTTATTCTTTAACTATAATTCTATTTTACTAATGAATATGAAACACCCGTTTTACATAAATGAGATTACATGCCGTTTGTATATAAATAAAAAATACGATAAACTTCATATATACTAGAAATTAACTTTATAATGGATTTTTTTTTTTTTTTTTTTTCTATTAAGTGGTTTAAAAGCGAAATCACTTGAAGATTATCCACATGAAACAAATCTTTATCTCGATAAATATATATCCAGCGCATGTTGATACGGACGTCAATATTTCTACATCATAGGGAATGTTGTAGAAATATGTGTCTGTAATGAAAACAATATACTCTTTTGGTACTGCCGATTGCAATAGAAAAAGGAAGGTGCACATCTAAGTATCAAAAGCAGTCCCATGAACAAAATTTCGACATTCTACTTCTAATTATTTTTAAGTTATGCGAGATATGTAGGTACGTATTACAGAAGTCATAAAAAAATTCATCTTCAGTCCATTTTACAATCCGTTTTGGGGGGAGAAAGTCCTTTATTCTGTTCGTACGTACAGAAGTCACGCAGAAAAATCATCCATATGAATTTGGGAACGGTCAAAATGCATACTTCTGTTGAAATATGATACCCAAAATTTCTGTGATTACAATACTTTCTTTATTTCGTGCAAGGAAGTAACAAACAAAATAGTAGTACAATTTTAAAACGTTTGAGTTAAACTTTTTTTTTTTTTTTTTTTTTTTTTTTTTTTTTTTTTTTTTTAATGAAGAGAATGGCAAATTGAGGCACGACCGCCCCAAACGACAACGGCAAAAATTCTACCTATGAAACTGCATAATAACCGAGCTAAATTTCCTAAATAAAAATACCACCAACTAATAATAATTTCAGCATAACAGCAAATGACGACTTACGTAACTGTTTGCTTGCATATCGATATAACCGATACTGTTTCATATCATGAGTAATATAATAAAGTACGTTGACATTTCTTTTTAGTGTTTTGAAGACCAGAGAAGACGAGGCTATGGAGCAAGTTCTGAAGTTGCAAGAAGAGGAAGGAAAAAGACAGAAAAAGAGATGTTGCTGACATTTCTCTCTTCAATCTTCTTAACCTACACAATCTTTTCATTGTATAAAGTGCTTTTAACTGTTTTTCATTCTTGAACTTCTTCAAAATAATTAAAAATTTTTATTTTGTTACAATGCTGTTTTTAAACTTTCTAGATTTCCTGAAACAATTTAAAACACAAATCAAATTTTCTATGCAAACTGAGGCTACTTACTTAAAATTTTATTCAATACATTAAAACTGAAAAATAATAATTTTTACTGTTTTAAATTTCGAACTTGCATATTGAGTGTAATACTAAAAGGAAATCAATATTTATTTAGAATTTGAAATTAGTAAAAATTGAATGCTTTAAAAAATGAGAATTCCTGCCATGGTTCTGAAAATTTTCCTGCATTTCTTACATCTGTACCACTAATGTAAAACATTTAAAGTTAACTTTAATGTAAAACATTTCAAATGTTTTATAACATTTATAGTATTCAGAATTATTTGCTAAGCATTTAAACCTTGTAAACAACATTACTTGAAACTATTTCACTCACTAAAATAATATAAACCTATTTCTCAACTTGCTAAAAACATATTGAAAAATCCTAAACAATAAGGCAAAAATGTAATACTAAAGAAAGCATTTAGCACAGAAATTAATATCGAAAAGCTGAACATTAATCAGCACATCATAAATACACTGAAGTGACAAAAGTCATGGGATAGCAATATGCAAATATACAGATGGCAGTAGTATCGCGTAGAAAATGTATAAATGCGAAGTGCTTTGGCAGGGCTTTGATTTGTGTTCAAGTTATTCATGTGAAGAGGCTTTGACGTGATTATGGCCGCACGACGAGAATTAACAGACTTTGAACGCGGAATGGTAGTTGGAGCTAGACGCATGGGTCATTCCATTTCGGATATCGTTAGGGAATTCAACATTCCGAGATCCACAGTGTCAGGAGTGTGCCGAGAGTATCTAATTTCAGGCATAACATCCCACCAAGGACAGCGCAGTGGCCGACCACCTGCACTTAACGACCGAGACCAGCGACGTCTGCGTAGAGTTGTCAATGTTCACAGACAAGCAACACTGCGTCAAATAACCGCAGAAATCAATGTGGGACGTACGAGGGACGTGTCCGATAGGACAGTGCGGCGAAATTTGTCTTTCTTGGGCTATGCCAGCAGAAGACCGATTCGAGTGCCTTTACTGACAGCACGCCATCGCCTGCAGCGACTCTCGTGGGCTCGTGAGCATATCGGTTGGGCCCTAAACGAATGGAAAACCGTGGCTTAGTCAAATGAGTTACGATTTCAGTTGGTAAGAGCTGATGGTAGGGTTTGAGTGTGGCGCAGACCCCACGAAGCCATGGACCCAAGTTGTCAACAAGGCACTGTTCAAGCTGGTGGTGGTTCCATAATGGTCTGGGCTGTTTTTACATGGCATGGACTCGGTCCTCTGGTGCAACTAAACTGATCATTGACTGAAAATGGATACCTTCAGCTACTTGGAGATCACTTACAGCCATTCATGGACTTCACGTACTCAAACAACGATGGGATTTTTATGGATGACAATGCGCCATGTCACCGGGCCACAATTGTTCGCGATTGGTTAGAAGAACATTCTGGACAATTCCAGCGAATGATCTGGCCACCTAGATCGCCCGACATGAATCCCATCGAACATTTATGGGACATCATCGAGAGGTCAGTTCGTGCCCAAAACCCTACACCGTCAACACTTTCACAATTATGGACGTCTGTAGAGGCAGCATGGCTCAATATTCCTGCAGGGGACTTCTAACGACTTGTTGAGTCCATGCCACGTCGAGTTGCTGCACTTCGCCAGGCAAAAGGAGGACCGACAAAATATTAGGAGGCATTCCATGACTTTTGTCACTTCAGTGTATAGCTTAAATGAAGTAAGAAAAGAAAGGAGTTATATGAGGAATTACGACTCAGGTACACACCAAAGAAAATAATTCTGTACTTAACGCAACAGTCTTGGCGCAATTTGGTGATTAACGCTACATTTTTTTTTTTTTTTTTTTTTGAAAAATTCTCAAACTTTTATTCTTTGTCGTAAGTCAGTAAACATCATCAGCTTATCAAAAGAATCAGTTTAATGAATTCAAAATACAAATTTTAATTATCAAATAAAAATTAAATGATACATTAAAAATGGAATGTATTTTCTTGAAATCCTTCAATTTTTGACAACTGTTCTTCTCTCGTGTACGCAACGATCTTTTTTTACTTTAAAAAACATCAGAGAATTTCAGAAACTCGACTATGGGCACAACCTCAGAATTGCGTATGGTTATATCTACAAACCGCTTTTAGCGATTTTGATGCAAAATACTGCATTAGTGCAGAAATTATTTTACTGCAGTTTCTTCGTCTGCTGGCAAATTTCACAAGCGTTTGATTTAAAATTGAGTTCAAAGGAAAAAAAAAATTAAGATTTGTTTATAAAAACCATTGGAACTTGGGTTACATTAAAAAAGAGCGCGTAAAAAAATGGCGACATTGCTTGACTGACGGATTATCAAAAGCACCTGTTGCCAGTATTTGCCCTGTCGGGCGAAGTTACGTTTTCATTTACTGTGCTAGAACTTCGACTGTTTACAATGTGACTACTGTAGTACTCGAACTAATATATTCCCCATTCACAAAACATTTAGCGAGAAAAAACATTACTCAAGTAGACAGCCACTTATTTATTTTCCCTTAATTACCGCATATTTTATAGATATCTGCCTCACAATACGTTTTTCACGTATAATATTCAAAGAAGATAGTTATAAAAACCACTAGAACAAGAAAGATGATGCCAATACAAAAGAAAGAAATAAAAACATAACAATTATTGCTAGTTGAACTTTTTTTGCGATGATTAAAATCGTTTAATTCCTGACATTCTCACATCTAACCTAATACTATGTTAACTCATAGCATAAGAAATTCAATAAAGTAATTAAATAGGAAATTCCTCATATACACAGTCTCTTAGAGGGTTTGCTGATTCTCCCTGATATAGTAACCAAGAATTTCTCAGAAAACTATCGTCAGCCAGACCAGAAGAGGACTTCTGATGCTCTCTAGAAACCCCTATAATAGTTTGATAAGTCGGAGGATCTCTTTCAGAAGAGACTTCCAAAGAATAAAGATTTTGGAAAGGTTCTAATTAACTCCTCTCTTTAAGTTTTAATTCGTCGACCTATTCCGCCTGCTCGAGGAAGTGATTCCAAAATTCATCCAAGAAGCCAGATTATTCTTTTCTTGTCGTCGCTGACAATAAGAATAATATCTCCTTCTTTTAGTTCAGATAACTGACTTAACCTTTTCTTCGAAATTTGTAGAACTCCTAATTATTCCTGACGAAAGCTTCTCTTAAAGGTTTCTCGAACATTTTGAAAATAGCAAAGTCTGCGTGTTAAAGTAACAGAATTTACCTACCATTTGGTATTAAATATTTCCGAATTTCCTTCAGAAAATGGAGGAGTTATTGCGGTAAGAACTGAATCTGCAGACACAGCAGTAAAGGTTTCTATCATTTAGTAAAGATTCACAGTTGCGCACAACGGTGTATATCTCTTCAGAACTCAAGCTGGCACGCGTAGTGGCTTTCTTCAGAATTCTTTTCATCATTTCAATAAGATGTAACCACCAGCCTCACACTATGAGGAACCAGGAGGGATTAATTTCTAGATAATGCGTTCATCAACTCCTCTTCTGGTGGCATCCTTAAAGTCTTGTTCCCACAAATAAGTACCATTATTAGTATAAACTATGGAAGTATTAGCACACCTAGAGTCAAAACAATGAAAAGGTAGTAAAAAAGATTCTGTTGACATGAAAGTCACACATATAAAGAAACAAATCCACTCTTTCTTATTGTCTCTTTGAGTACCGAAGTCTATCCCTATGATTTGAAACATGGCATCATCTTGAACTTAATCCCCTAGTAAGGGGGGAGCTAGCGGTTTTGCGCTTTTACTAGAGTACCGTCTGCAAGCTACGCATGTACGCAAAACAGATGATACAATTTTCCATCCTTCCAATAACCAAAATATTTCTCTGAGAGAATTTAAGACGTGAGAAATTCCGACATGACCCTTCTTTTGGTGTTCTTCCATCAATAAACTTCTGACTATTGGATGATTTTAGGGAAAAATGGCTCTGAACTCTGAAGTATCCCATAGTTTTTGTACGCAGAATTCCCTTCGAGAGAAATGCTGGAGGTAAGCGTTTAATATTTTGTAATTTATTCTACTAAAAGTTTCCAGTTGTATTAAATGGACAATAGCCATTTCGCCTTCATTAAACTCATATATAGTAAGCTTTCTTCCCAGCTTCATTTCATGGCAACAGTTGTAGACACACCGTTTTAATCCAAGTCATCAGTTTTACTGTTATCAGGAAACTTGAGAAACGAGTGCTTATCATGTTACTAGCACCAAGAGCCATTAGAGATAAACAACTTTTTTCCCTTTTTCTCTAGCTATTTCTTTCTCATACACAGTAAATTCAACTTCTGGCCATTCTTTCGACGATAAGTAAAAAGAACTGGGCTCCTCCCGGAATTAGAGTTCATCAAATAGCGAGCTGAATAGCCTGTAGACGAGGTTAATTGCGCCTTCCGCGTGGTGAAACTCTACTACTAGCGTGCTAGAATAGTACTTGTATATCATGTTGGGTGTTTACGTACCTCGTATTAGAATGGCGCCGACATGGATGACGCAGTTTCGACTTTTAACATACTTAATAAATTCAGTCACTCTCGGTCTATTTCAACCAAACTGAATACATTTAATAATATAACATTCACACGTAAACATTTAGTAATAATTCAGGAGTACAGATAAGCATAAAATAAGAATTACAACAGTTACAGGCCAGCTACGCTTTTAGCGACCGAATCCTACGAACGACAAATCTCAAAAGCGTGTTGCCGACGCAGGGCAACGAAAAGGTAGAAATTAATTCGACAGGCGTGGAAGTGAACATTGGGTCTCGATTCGCATAAATACTACTGCAGCATAAGCTAATCTGCTTGCATCGCAGAAAAATATGCAAAAAAAATCTTTTATTTCCGTTCTCTCAATTTAAACTTTTAAGAATATTTACTTTT